GGACTGGGGCCGCGCCGGCGGCAGCGACTCCCAACAGCCCCAGACGGGAAGGGAAAGGCAAAAAGCGCTTTGCCTTTCCCTTCCCGAGGCGGCGGGACTGGGGCTGCTCCGGCGGCAGCGACTCCACACCATTTTTTTTTCAGAGGGGAATCTGACTCGAGTATAAGCCGAGGGGGATTTTTTCAGCACAAAAAATGGGCTGAAAAACTCGGCTTATACTCGAGTATATATGGTAAATTATTACATGTGGAGAAAAAACTGACCCTGACACAGTTCATTACTATTAAGAACCAATTTTGCTTTTTTTATTTTGTTTTGTTACAATGAAGGCCCTATTTGACTGTAGTGTCTTTTGCAAAATATGAAAGAAAAAGGCTATTAAAGATTAAATGGTGAACCTGCATTTTAAGCAAACTGCAAAGAAATGTATTATTATATACAGCAGCTTCAAGAGAATTCTGAGCCTGTATATAATAGTATCTAAGAGCCATACAATATTTTTTGTTTCAGAATATATTCCTATTACTTAACTAGGATTACCTTCAAATGATAAATGTGTTCTTCAGTATCCAAATCTATACACTTAGTCGATTTCTTGACAGACATCACTGAAAGGCCAACATCTATACATCCATGCAACTTCCCTTTCTCTATCTGGCAAAAAACATTTAAAATTATTTAGTTTGGCTTAGGAGAAAATGACATAAGACACACAATTACCTCTTTCTATTGGAAACAATCACTTATTTCTTTCATCAAACTCTGAAGTTACCACCATATTATTTTATATGACAGCATCTGCATATTGAAGCACTTACATCGGCTGGATTCTTTGCATATTTCAAAATCCCTTTGTCCAGAAAGAACCATCTCTGCAATAGAAAAGCAGACTTTTTAATCAGACAAGACAACATACTGCAATAAAATGTATTTTTAAACAGTTGCAATATTCTCCCTGCCAACTTTATAAAGGACAGCAAGCAAATGTTTTAAATGGCACTGGCAACAAATACCAGGTGTGAAGGCTGATTCTCACCTTATGCCAACCTTTCAGAGGCCATTTCCTTTTTTTCAGCAAGAAGCCTTCCTGCTTCTGGGGTTCCTGGGTGCAATTCATAACTCCACGAAGTCCTTCTATGATTTCCCAGCTGTCCTGTTCAGAAACAAAATCCAAAATACCTGATGAGTTTTTTTTTAAGTAAAAGGAGTATATTATATATGTTCATTGCCTTAAGTTATTTATAAGAATAAAGATGTTATAAAAATAAATAAAGTGCTACAATTTTTTAAATCAATTTCAGGGAACCTAAAACGTTTTATTTATTTATTATGTTGATTTTTCAAAGCCATTCATTTGAATGCAAGGTGTCAATTTTAACTGTTTTTTATTTTACTTAAAGTGACCTTAAGTCTTTCTCCATAGTTGAGATGAAATGTTGATTGCACATCCTTGAATCACCAGGAAACTTTACTAGCATGACATTTTCTGTTCAAACTTTCCTGCCACCCCCACTTCTCTCCCACAACAATCCTCTGATGTGGCTTGGGCTCAGACAGAATGAGTGGCTCAATGTCATCCAGCCAGTTTCCAGGCTTAAAGGAGGACTGGAATTCACTGTTTTCTATTTTTTTCTCCCTTGTTTCAGTTTCAAGTTTTCAGTCATCCAACTTTGCTTAAGAATAATAAAATCTACAATATTGTATACATTCTTAGGTTGCTCTTGGATGGTATCAGAACACTAATGCTACTCCAGCCAAGGACAGCATGTCTGATCTGAGTACAAATTGATTAAAGCATCACCATGGAGATCCATCAGGGAAAAAAAGATGTTTCTGAGGCCCGATTATTCTGTACAGATAGTCTTTGCTTAACAAGAAGTACTATCTGTAAGGCAGATAAATGAGAGACTGGAATTTTATTTGCTAAGTGATGTGGTGTCTCAAGGACCATTATCTTTCTTAAGCAAGGATTGTGGGCCATTAAGTGAGAACTTCCTGTCAGCTTCTCAGAAGTAAAGTCAATGGGGAAGCTGGCAGAAATCTGCAAGTCCCAGGCAGCTCACAAGCAGGTTGGTGGGCAGATAAATGACTGCTGCCGGGCATTGAGAGTGCAGAGGTGGCCACCATGGCATAGGTGTAGTCAGAGTTCACTTCTACCAGATGGGGGAGATTAGAATTGACAATTGACTTGCTTGTGAGAGCCCACAGGGAAGGTCAACAATGGCAATCAATTTACCAGGAGATGCTGCAACTTTTCTCAGTGTAAGCTGGTTGCCAAATGATCATATTATAATCATGTGACCTAACGTTGCTGGAACTTGGAAGTCTGGTTGCAAGTACCACTCATTAGTGCCATTGTAAGGTTGCAGTTGTTCAATTGGTTCAATTATTGTTAATGAAGGACTATCTGTAGTTATGTGCAAGCAGGAAATGGCTCTTGATGGGTTGCAAAGCAAATCATTGCAACAGGCAGAGGTGCAAATAAAAATTTAAAAACCCTTTGATATTGTGTAAGAGAGGCAGTCTGGTGCAGTAGTTAAGGCAGTGCTTTCCAAACATGGATAATTACCCAAAATTGAGTAAAGGTGGTTTTTCTTTCTCACACAAACCCAGCAGGGACGTTTAAATAGGGACTTTCTGATAAGCAGTTTTGGATAATGAAGGAAAAAGGTTTGGGAAGCACTCAGTCAAGCATTAGGCTAGAAACTGGGAGAGTATGAGTTCTGTCCTGATTTAAGTACAAAGCCAGTTGGGTGACTTTGGCCCAGTCACTCTCTCCCTCACCCCTAGGAAGAGCAGGCAACAGCAAATCACTTCTGAAATCTTGCAAAAACAACTTCAGGGACTTGCCCAAGCAATTGCGGCGAGTCAACTCTGACTTGAAGGCACCAGACAACAACAACCTCCCTGTGTTAGTCACAAGGGGAGGGGGAAATGACATACAAAGATTTTCCAATAAGTTTTCATCACACAAGAGAAACAAGGGAGAGAAAGGGGGGAAAACTTATTAATGTTTGATTTTTTTCTCCCTATATTATTTATTTTGAAAAAAAAAGTAAGAAATAGATAGTACAAATAAGAAATCAAGTATCAGTTTCCTCATGACCATTTTATTGTCCAAATCCAGGTTTCTTTTTTATTCATTATAAGAGAAGAACATTTAATTAACATTACTCATAACACTGAAAGAAAACTATAATGAGTAATGCGGTCCATCAAGGAAATCAAACACTTTTTCGTATAAGATGCATGTAAAATACTTATTATTCCTATAAGCAGCCGCTTCAATCATCATCGGGATGAGAGTTTATTATCTTTGTACACCATAATGCAGATATGCAAAGGATTGGACATTAAGAAGAACCTCGTCATAACTGTGAGTTGATAAGGATGCCTGATGAAAAAAGACTTTGTATGGATGCTTTGTGGAGTTGCTCTGCCTGCTTTATACCCATCCAGAGAGTAATAAGCAGAACAGTAGAAAGATAAATCTTGATTCCTGGAAGAAGTAGAATGAAGCTAAAGTAATTTGAATTATGTGATAAAGACAAAGATATTTTGAAGTCAGGAGTAAATGTTCATGCTATTCCTTTGTACCTCTACCTCAAACCTGATTGTGGATGCAGGAAAGGGCAAATCTCCCCTCCCCTCTCTTCATCAAGAGAAGCTTCTCTGTCTCAGGTTACATCTCTGCTAACCTAAAAGGAACTAATTGTGCAAACAAAGGGAGGCACCAGGTATTCTTTATCTATCTCTGTCTTCCTCCAGTTACAAACCCTTTCCAAACGCAACGAGAAAGTTTCAGAAATTTTGCTGGTATTTCTAAAAAGGAAAGCTAAATTTTCTCTGCTCATTCAAACTGAAAAGCGTAGCATTTCTTAAGCTCTATGCTGCTTCGCCTTGTTCGCTTCATAATGCAAGAAGCAATCATCGCCAAACTCCCAAAAGAAATATTAGAACGATGGATTGTTTTGTCTGATGCCTTTCTGGCCACAAACCGCAAAAGAGAACCACCCTTTGCCCTTCTCCAAGAATTTGTTCTCCGGCAAACAGAGTCCTGCAAAAGCTTTAGAAACCTTCACCACAGATGCAGATTTTACCCAACTAACAGAAACCACAACCAAAACTCTGCACTTCTCCAGAGTCTACTGCACATATCTACAGATCATCGACAACACATAACACAGGGGTCATGACCTCCTCCATAAAGACTTCGGGAGAGGACCCATCAGAAGCAACCCAACTTGAGTCTCCTACAACAAAGAGAGTTGAATTTTGTCCTTTACACAACACTCGACACTCGCTGAACAGTTGTTGAGTGTTTGCAACGAAATCCCTGGAACAAATGAAAGATTTGTTATGGGAGTTCAGATTCTGCTACAAGTGTTGCGAATCTTCTAAACATGTGCCCAAAGACTACACAGCAAAGGTGCAATACCATCTATACAACAGCAACAAGCACCCAACTGCTCTGCATCCAGACTCTGAACCACCACAGCAGACAACTCCTAACCCTCCTTTGAACAAGGAGCTTCAGTGTGCTGTGACAGCACACTATGTGCCTCAGCGCACCGCGAAAGTACAATCAGAGCTAGTGGTGAGTGTCAATTGCATGATGGTGTGTGATAACACACCAGCCCCTCGCTCGTGTCGTCAGATCTGCCTAGCCAAAGTCTACCCCGGTGGATGCCCAGAAGAAGCAGTGAAGATGTATGTAATACTGAATCCTCAGAGCAATGGCTCACTAGCCAGGTCTGCATTTTTCGACCTCTTTGATGTTCAGAAGGAAGAACTGTACTTCACGATATCAACATGCACCGCACCAAGATGCACAGCGGGGAGGGAAGCTACAGGACTCTGAGTCATTAGATGGAAGTTCCCATTTCCTACTGCCGCCCGTGTTGGAATGGAATGGGATACCAGATGACTGCAGCCACATTGCAACACCAGAGGTAGCTAGCAACATACCCCACCTGAAGCATATGGCTCATTGATTTCCCGCCCTAGATCCTGAAGCCAAGATTTTGCTCTTGCTGGGACTAGATGCCCCTGATGCTTTAGCGTACATTGAAGTAGTAAGAGGCCCGAGATACTCACCTTATGCCTTCAAAACAGACCTGGGTTGGGGAATCTCAGGAATTGTCTGTGTCGACCGGACACAGGCCCAACCCAGGCAGATGCCTTCGCACCATCCATTCCGACAGCCTTCTGATGCCTTTTAGCACCATCGAAAACAAGAATGCCGGTCCATCTTAAAAGGCCGCCGGCAACCAGTAGACTTTCACTAAGGAACCCTAAATGGCTGCCAGCTACCACCAGACTTTCACAAATATGCTTCACAAGGGCAGATGTCTTTGCAACATCCAGTTCAACTGCTTGTCAACACCCCTTTGAACCGTTGGAAGCAACAGTACCTGTGCACCCTAAACGGCTGCCAGAGGCGACGAGCAGACTTTCACCAAGCAGCTCTACACCAGACTGGTCACTGACCTGGTGCTGCTGTGGAGAAAGGCTGAACTTGAAGATTGAACCTCAAGCTTTGCATGCTTTGCTTTGTTTGATGCTTTATTATTTACTGTTTCTCTTAGTTATATAGCTAACTGTTTATTTTAGTTATATAGTTATCTGCTATTCAGTTAGTATTACTCTTTACTGTTTATCTTAGTTATACAGTTACTTTTGTTAGTGGAATTTACAATTCCAGGCGGGGAGTGTGCTGGCCAGACAGTTTAGAGTTAATGGGATTTGGGATAGTTAGTTAGGAATTGAGAGCTGTCCCTTTAAAGGAATGCATCCTGGGAAATGTAGCCCATGTCTTGGTCACATCTGTAATCCTGATTGGTCACTAAATTGACCCTTGTTGGGTTGGGGGAGGCTCCCTCACTCTTGCCTGGATCCTTTACCATGCAGCCGCTTCAATCATCATGGGGATGAGAGTTTATTATCTTTCTACACTATAATGCAGATATGCAAAGGATTGGACATTAAGAAGAACCTCGTCATAACTGTGAGTTGATAAGGATGCCTGATGAACCAATAAAAAGACTTTGTATGGATGCTTTGTGGAGCTGCTCTGTCTGCTTTATACCCATCCAGAGTAATAAGCAGAACAAGTACTGAAAAGTGACTTATGACCATTTTCACACTTATGAC